CCCGCGACACGGAGCGAACTACGGCCACACCCTCATATTTATACGACAGGGTGAGAGCAATGGACTCCACGGTCAGCGGCGGCAAAAGAACGCGAACGGCATCCGCACTACCACGTTCCTCTTGCAGCCACTCCAGGATATACTGTGTATTATTATTCTCCACCTTCAGAGAATTTATTTCAATGTATTTATCGTAAAAGAAACTCATGACAAAGTCCAAGAGCGATGTGAAGGCGTTACGCCCACTCCGCGAGCTCACCACAGTTTTTAGATGGGGCATTGCCCATTTCTTCCCATCAATAATGGCGTATATCCCAATCTCGCCTTTGTATGAGATGCCAAGTGCATCTAGCAGCTGTGGGCCTTCCGTGGAGTAGGCGTCAATGCGGAACATCTCCACGACGACACCTTCAACAAGACTCGACTGCGTCAAGCCCTCCCAGGTGGAGGCAAACCAGCGGCAGGATTTGCAGCTGTCATCGTACACCTGCAGGAGAAAAAGTCGATTTCCACGGAAGTTTAGTATCCGCTGCAACACCGATAGCGATTCCAGCTGGTGAGTCTTGGAGAGAATGGGCGACTGCTGATGAAAGTATTCAAATATTTCCTGCGCCGTAAATGACGCGGAGTCGAAGGCCTCTCCGGGGATTTTTCCAAAAGCGTCATAGTCCTGTCGCTGAATGTCGTCAGACAACACCTTGTACGCCTGCAGCACCTTCACCATGTACTCCTTTGCTGCCTCCTTTGCCTCGTGCGTCTCCTGCATGTCCGGGTGATGCTCGCGAGTGATCTTACGAAAGGCCTTTTTGATTTCGTCCTTTGTCGCTCCCCGACCAACACCAAGGCGCGCGTACAAGTCATCGTTATTGGAGTAGGCAAACAGACGAGCTTCTGCCGGGGTTGAAAGAAAAAAAAGCACCAACAACGCCACCAGGAGCAGCAGCAGACGCGTTGTTAAAAAATTTTGGAGTCGGTTCATTTCCCTTTTTTTTTTTTTACTTGTTTCTGTGAGGGGGACGCTCCTAACTTCAATGTCTTCTGCGATGCGTACGTGTCGTGGTGCTACACACACTGTGATGTACACTCATGGCGGTGACGCGCAAAAACCACAAAACGAGAAAAGAAAAAAGAAAAACAAATAAACCACAAAAACAACGAAAAAGGAAGACAATCAACGCCATCGCTTACATGGACACACGCACAGAAAGTGGGAGAAATCGTAAAAAAGAAAAAAAAAACAAAAAAGAAAAATAAAAAACAAAAACAAAAAACGAGAAGGCAGACATCTTGGCTGGGCGACGGCTGTGGCCGTGCCAGTGTGTGTCTGTACATGGCACCGTCTGTCGTCCTGGTGCGTGTGAGGATCGCGTGGCAGGACCACTGTGAAAAGGCACAAGCCCAACCAGAACAAATGCATGGACGAGACCAAAAATAGAGGGGGATAATTAATAGGGCCAGAAAACAAAACAAAACAAAAAAACAAAGTGGGTTCACTCGACTGCAAAGGTGAGCAGCTCTTTTTCTGTCTCTTGCCTCCACTGGAGGTGGATCCCCATTTCACGATCCACCTTCTGCTGGAGGCCGGCAAGTGAATCGGCTGCGCGCTGCAACAATTCCGCGTCCAGTCCCGTTGATGCCATCAAAGAACTCAACGCAACGCTCTCCCGCTGCGCCTCCTCCTTCTCCTCGTTCCTTTGGCACTGCAGGAGTTGCTCGAGAAGGTCGTTTATTGCGGAGGCTCGAGTGGAATCTTCCTTCTCCACCGCCTCGTTGTTTTCGTCCTTCCCGTTGCCCTGTCCTGCCGCCCCCGCCCCCATCCCATGGGAGGCATGATTCACAATGGCGAGTGCACACCGATCCATCTCGTCACACTCCTGCCGCACCGCACCTTCGAACTTCTCACAGACCTCGTGGAGAGCGACCAGTCGCGTTTCTTGTGTTCTCTGCTCACCCGTGGCGGAGGTTAGGTGGCACAGGGCTTCCGCTCTTTGCTGCTCCTCAACCAGAAGCGTGGTGTAAAGTTGCATCGCTTGAGTGTGAAGAGTCGTCCACTGCGCCTCCATCTCCGCCGTTTTGGCCTCCAGCTCGACCTCTTGCCTCGCCATATCGGTCTCCTTGCTCTCCACTGCGGAGCGGCATGTGGCCTCGCACTGCATGTGCACAGTTGACGTTTGTAATGCCTTTTGCCAGGAGGAAAACAAATTTTCATGCATTTCCCTTTCTCTCTGTATTGTGATAGAATCCTGTTGCAGGTTGGACTGAGCATCTTCAATCTGTGCATCCAAGACAACAACGCGATCTGATATGAGCTTTACCAACATGAGCTGCTCTTCCAATTCTTTGGAAAGGTCACATGATGCCGCGACAACTTCTCGCAAGGAGAGTCTTAAGCGATGAACGGATATCCAGCGTGACCGCGCCATCTCCACTCGCTCGCTTGGAACAACAGCGCAGCAAAGACCCACATTTTCACCTTCGCCCTCAATGGTCTTTCCCACACCGACAAGATTGTCAATCTCACGCATGCAGGCATCCGCATAAATGTCACAATCCTCATCCAAACTATCGTAGCCGTAGACAAGTGTGGGTGGCGGTAGTAGTTCGCGAATAGCGCCCAAGGCATCATGAGAGAGCAGCTGCTCACACACATGTAGTGCCGTCGCACACTCGTGTTGCTGCTTCCACACCCCACGAGACCACTCCAGCAAAATATCTGCAAAGCCGGAAGGAGTTGTCTGATGTGTCTCAATGTGTTTGATATGCTCCTCCAGAACAGATTGACGCCTTCGAAGATCATTCGTTGCCGTCCGCCACTCATTCGGTGCCCGTCCATGAGTCCGTTCATGGCACCGTTCCAGAAGATGCACAACGTTACCACCCTTTGCTGTGTACTGCGTTACGAACTGATGGAGTGTCATAGCAATCTTCTCAGAGGAACGCCGTACGCCAGAGAAAACACCCTGATCCTCCTTCATTTGGGCGAGCATTGTGTGGACCCCTCGCAGCTGCTCCTCACGTTCCTTCACGCGGCGCTCCTCCGCTTCAATCCTCGCCTCCAGAATTGCCTTCTGCTCCTGCAGACTGTTGATGGTCGACTGCACCTGGCAGTTAAGCTTCTCCACTACTTCCGCCTCAGTGGTCAGTGCAGACACCATTGTGAGGTCCTTTGTGCGCTGCTTGAACATCGACATCGCGGCGTGGCGCATCGCGGCAAAGTTTTCCTCCACCGTCACCTCCGCCTTGCTGGCGGCAGTCACAGAAACGGCGGTGCGCTGCTTCGGCTGTTGTTGTTCCGACATGGAGGATGACGCCCGCAAAGTGCTGTGCCTCTCCGTCAAAAGACCACACACACAAGAAAAAAAAAGGGAAAATACAAAGCAACAGCAATAAACACTAAGAAAGAAAGGCAAAACAACAACAATTCATAATATATATATATATCAATCCATTGCACTGCAGTGTGCATGGGGGGACGGCTTGCTGTTGCAACTGGACGTGCAGTCACGAATTACATTTTAACGCCGTCATTCCATTTCTGTCATTTGGGGACCTTTTTACCTCTTTGTTTATTCTGTTTTTTTTTTTTCTTTTTCATGGCATAAGTGACGCATCAGAGTGCATCCCGACCATCGCCTCTTCATTATTCCTGCCGCCGCCGCTTCTTTCTTTCCCCAGCGACCACTTGCTTCTCCAGCCCTTTTGGCAACGCCGGCGCCCGCAGCTTGACGCAGAAACGCTTTCCGCTACTGTTGCCACCGACTGCTGTTGGGTCATACATCGTTGCATCATCCTCGTCCTCACTGCCAGCGCTATGCAAATCGTCCGTGTCGCCACGATGAGGCTCCTCTTCACAATTTTCGTTGCCTGCACACTTTGCCTTCTCGACACACTCACCACCACCACCGCTTGGGCCTACAGCAGTGTCCTCGGCAACATTAGTGCTGACACTAGTACTACTGACCTTCCGTAGAAAGGAGCGCCGGGCAAGGCTGTAAGACTCCCGCGGGAAGCCGCTGTCGTAGAGAATAGTTGCGGTTGCTTTCTTCCTTGTGAAGGGTGAGGCGGAGCCAATAGACATCCCACTCGTGCCATGACGGGCGCCAGATTTTGCCTGCAGTTGCTCCTCCAACTGTTTTTGTTGGTCCATCTCAAGGCGTTGACGACGTTTTGTCTCCTCTTTCCGCTGCATGAATTTCATGCCACTGAGCATCTCCAGCGTCTTTGTTTTGTCCATCGCTGACAAAAAGAAAAAGGAACGGGGAAAATACACACGCCACGTCCAAACCCTCCTTTCCCCACTCCCCGCCCACACACACACCAAAATAAAGATTTAGGTGCGGTTATGTACACAAATGTATTGCAACCAATTTCAGTAAAGTTTTTTTTTTTTTTCTTCTTCTTCTTGAGGACCTTTTAAGTGGAATTTGCCCCTCCAGTGAGTTTCTGTGCGCAGATGATAGGGAGTCGTCGGAGGTCCTGGCGGTCGTAGAGGCAATAAAGAAAAGAAAAAAAGGAGAAAGGCACATATCCACAAATCAATAAATAAAAATACATACATACATTACACAATACATGATAAATAAAAGGACAATTTAAAGTCCACAGATGCTGCCATTTTTTATTGGCGGAACTCCACCGTCACTATTCCTTCTTTTCTTCCTCTTCCTCTCTCTAGGCCTCGTTTCCACTGCTGCAATGAACTCCACTTGTGACGTTGGTCGTGCCAACACACCCTCCAAAAATTTTCACAACCACGCCAGGCCTTCTTGATTCGTTTCCCGGAGTCGAACGGTTGTACCCTCTTCTTTCGAGTTTCAAGTGTAATGTTTTTTCGTTTGTTTTTTTTCTTCTCCCCCTACCTCTTCTTGTCTGTCATGCATGAACAGGGGTAAAAGAGAGGCAAAGAGAGAGGGAAACAAAAGGAGAGAGGGAAAAAAAAAAAAAAAAGGATTCGGTGGCAGGGGAGAAAAGGACATAAATTTACATAATCGTTGACCGCCTTACATACGAGGAACAACGCCTTTTTGAATACCGTCCCGCATCTGTGGCATGGGTCTAAGGTTCTTGTATGAAGGCAACTGCAGGCGTGGGGTGTTGTTAATGGGGAATCGTGGTGGTGGCTGCTGCGACAGGACGCGGGGTTGGACGGCAGCTCCGCTCAGCCGCATCCCACCGACCGCGTCTAGAGGAAAGGATGGATCAAAGACAACATTGTGCGGCGCTGAAAATTCTGTCATCCTCGACAGCTCCGCCTTGTCACGCTCCTCCTCCGTGACCTCCTTGTCATCGAGTGTCATCAAAGCCGGCAGCGCAGCAATTGTCTGCGAGCGGTAGGGCGTTTTGCGTGCCACGGCATTTCCAACGAGCGTCACGTTGACAAGACATGAGGCGTTACGGAGGTCGTTGAGGAGCAGCCGCAAATCGCTGAGTCGGTTGGAGCCCAGTCGAAGCACCTCAAGGCGGGTCAGCGGCTGAAGACCCTCCGTCGAACGAATGTAATTTTCCTCCGCGGAGATGTCTGTCAGCTGCAAATTGCACGCAAAACAGTCCCGTCCAAAACCCCGCAGTTTGTTATTGTCAAGCAAAAGTTCTCGCAGCTCCGTCAGTCCCTGGAGGCCCTGATCAACGCTGATAATTTCATTGCCCTTCAGATTCAAGAACTGCAGCCGCGGCAACAGCAGGCCAAGCGAAGAGACGTCCGTGATGTGATTGCTCTCCAGCGAGAGCGAACGCAACCTCTCGAGGTGCTGCAGCGCCTCGCCGACAGGGCACTGCCCCAGCCGATTGTGGGAGAGATTCAGCGCAACAAGACTCTGCAGCGACATCAGCCCGTCGATACGAGAAAGACTGTTGTGATGCAGATGCAACACCTCAAGGCTAACAAAGGGCTCCATCATTGCGACCTCCCGTAGCCCGCAGAGCGAGAGGTCCAGCTCCCGTACACTATTCCATTCACTCGTCAGTCCAACGCGCTCAGCAAGTAATTCAGAATTTACCCGCCCCGCAAACACATCCCTGGCGCGCTGCTGTTCCAGTTCCCCTATGGGTACCCCATCCAGCACTTTAAGCTTGGGGAGGTTGTAGATGATGTAGTTGCGGTACTCCTGCCGTTGCTGTTCGGCGTCGGGCTGAAAACCACAAGGGTTGCCCGCTGCATCGATTGACGCAAGGTTGGACAGGCGGTGCAACGAGTACAAATCACGCACCTCGGCTATCAGATTTCTGGAAAAGTAAAATTCCTCCAAAAGGCCACAGTTCTGCAGTCCAGATACGTCGGTGATGGCGTTTTCACCAATGGAGAGAAAGCGCAGCTCACCAAGCTCCTCCAGGCCCTCCGTTCCGGTCAGCCTGTTTCTTGAAATGTCCAAGGACAACAACCGCATTCCACCAAGGGGCTTGGCTGTTTTCACCAGGTTGTCGCTCACATTCAACGTCTTGAGGTGCCGCAGCTCCGCCAAAGGTGACAGATCCTCAATGGCATGCGATTTCAGATACAAATGACGCAGCTGGTGCAGCACCGTCACCCATGCTAGATCACGCATCAGACTGAATCGAAAACAGAAGGAACGGACGCTCCTTAAATTAGGTGCTGAAGGATCTTTCTTTGCAGAAGAGATCAAATCGCGTTCCTTTTCTGTTTTTTCCATGAGGCTAGCAAACACATGTTCAAAGGAACAAATTTTGACAGCATCGACAGTGTTGATTTGGTCCCCATCACTGTAGTTCATGAATACACCCAATTTATCCTCCGCCAGCCGTTTCCGTTCCTCCTGGATAATATATTGCAACATCCCCTGATTCAGTTGAATGGTGCGTTTCCGGCGTATTAACAAGGACGCATGCCGGAAGAGAGAAATTCCATTAAGGTGTCGTAGCTGAGGCAACACGGCAAGACAAAAGACTTCAGCCATCTTGTCCTCCATCCACGGGTTATGGTGCATGTCAAGAGATTCTAGCGATGGCATGCCATCGCGGAGCTGAAGCAGGCCCCCTAATACACAAAGTTTGTTGAAACTCAGGCAGAGCGAATGAAGCACGGGGAAATGGGCGCTGACAAGCTCCAGACGCTCCAGTGCGTTGTTGCCAAGATCTAAAGTTTCCAAGGAAGGTGCCGCAAGCGCAAGAGATTCCCACGCAACGGAGGCTATCTTGTTTTTTTGTAGAAAAAGTTCCTTCAAAGAGCTCCATGTGCTTGAGGCTTGAAGGGATCTCGGGATACATGTAATTTTCTGGTTTGACATGTTGCAACACACCATGGGAGATTCCGTACAACATGTTACCTGCATTTTATACGCCTCAATCATTTCATTCGTAAGGGCTTCATTCGCCTGAAAGGCAGTTACTTTTAAGCGACGCAAGTCTTTTGCTCGCCGCACCGCACTCTCCGTCTCCTCAGTGGCAAACACCTGAAAGGTTTTCGAATTCAGCCACTGTAAAAAGGAGAATAATGGGTAGCCAACCGTCCGTATATCGTTGATGCTATCCTGTGATTCTCCTGGCAAGAGTTTCTCCATGAGTGCATGGAGTGCGGTCAAATCATCGTATACGGAAAGAAAGGAATTGGTGGAGAGAGAAACTTTCGTGGTGTACGTGAATTCAATCACATACTCCGGTAACACGAGGGATTTGTCAAAAACGTGCCACGCCTTCACGGATGCGTCGTGTGGGGCCCCACGGTAAATGGAAAACACCTCTTCGCCGTATTGACGTCGTGAGCATCTGCGCCGCTCGCTTTTCATGAACGGCACCTCCCCATTGGTTTCCCTGTCAAGGGCGGCACCCATTTCTGACACGCACTTTCCCAAGAAAAGTCGGGACACGACCAGTTGCCCAGAGAAGGCCTCGTGTGCTAATCGGACACCATAAATGTCGTGGTTTTTCTTCGTCATCGACATCAGACGCTCCTGGTCAGCGTAGTACAGACTGTTTGTGAGTGGCACCCCGTCGTCCTCTGCGTACAGGCCACTGAAGCCATTGATCATAACTTCACGAAGAAAGCAACGTTGTTCACTCAAATGTTTGGGTATCGCACTGAAGAGTCGCACCAACGCACGACGGTTTCGGGTTTCTGCAAGATCAATGTCAAGTTCACGCATTCGATTGTCAAAGCGTTCACGAAGTCCCTGAGACATGATGCGAAAGACTCGATTCACCTTCACCCCAGTGACACCCAAACTTTCATAGAGTTTTGGATCAAACCGAGTGGAGATTAACTCCTTTGCATTCACAAACCAATTCTCCTCCTGTGACCCCTCTTCTAAGCGGATGTTGCCGCATGAATGAAGCTCCAGTAACAATCGTTCATGCAAAACATCGGACTCAAACACAGTGCGCTCCTGCGCGTCCAACAGCTGGCGTTCAAGTCCCTCCAGTTCCACTTCTCGCGTATCCCGTGCCCGTAGTAGCTTCGAAACATGCTCTTTTTCTTCCTGTATTACCGTCTGGCCTGAAGAAGACCCCACACGTCCAGATCCATTTAACTCCATTATCTCCAAATTTATTTGGCGCAGTGCCTCACGTGCTTCATTCCGCTTCGCCTCGGCTTCTTTTTGCACCCAATCAAGAACAATCGAGAGATTCCTATCAAGAATCGCCCGTCGCATACTATAATAAATACTCTTCTTTGCATACACCGACACTGCAAGAGTTCTTTGCTCCGCCGTGATGGCAACACCGTCCAATTGCTCCAGTTGTAGCAGGTGACGCAGAGAAAAGGTCGTGTAGTTGCTCAGGTGACAAATGGGGGAATCCCCGTACATGGGGTCGCTAAACCAAAGTTTACGTAGTGACCTGAGCACATCCAAATACGTGAGTTGTCCCAATAAATAGATTTTATTATTCGACAGATTTAGTTCCTCGATGCTTCCTGTGGTAGATGTAAAGGCATTTTCGAGTGTTGCAATTTGATTCGAGGCAACCCAGAGGGATTTCAATTGTGGCAACGCGTTCAGCCCCGTGATTTGGCGCAGGCGATTCCCACAAAGCCACAATTGTTGCAATTGAGGGAGATGAGGCATGTTTTCCATGGTTTCAATCAAGTTCCCCTGTAAGAAGAGTCGCTGGAGACGTTGCATCTGCTGCAGTCCTTCAATCACACGAATGTTGTTTTCATTTAGCCACAATTCCTCCACATGGTGCAGATAAGTAAGATCCCGCATGTTCTCAAGTCCGACGTGGATGATTTTCACAACGGTGAGGTATGGAAATAAGCGTAGCTGCGGAAGCTCCGGGGTGGACAGCAGAAACACCTCCATCGTCTTGAATTCCTGTGGGGCCTGAAGAAACTCCTCCACCGTCCAGCCACTATTGTCGCACAGGAGTTCCACCACCTCCGTTGTTTCATGATCCTTCATGGCTTGCCGAATGGCACTTCGCAGGTGTTCCACGACGGCGGGGGATGCCCCTTCACGTTGCACAGAAGTGCTGTCATCCTGTTCATCGGCCATCGTTCACTCTCCCCCAAACACAACCCCCACACTCAAAATAATAAAAGAGGAAAAAGAAATAACAGGGAAAAACTAACACAGTCACAGAGCGACGTTGGGGAAAAAAAAAGAAAAAAAAAAAAAAAAAAAGAAAGAAAACAGGACCCTCGAAGAAGGCCTTTTACTCCACACCCTGTTGGCTCTGCAAGCTCCAGGGAAAATTTCGGTAAAAGATATTTCTAAACGTTGGTGATGGGTGTTGTTATTTTTGATGCTGCTGCTGCTGCTGCTGCCGCTGCCGCTGCACCAAACGGAGGTCCAATTAATCAATTTAAATAAATATAAATTGATAACTCTCTACAATGTTCACACACAGAGAAAAATAAAATTGATTAAAGAAAATCACCACGAGTCGGCCATTCAAAACAAACAGATAATAAACGTACTAATAAAAGTACAACAAAAACAACAAGAAAAAACGAACAAACAAAAATCCTCGTTGCCATGGTCCGAGACGTTGATTCCTTAGAGATCGGGAGAATCCTCCAATCTCGGGTCAATCGGTAGACCATTCTTATCGCAACCCCCCGAACTCCGCTGCCATTTTGTACACACCAACTGCCGCGCCCTTATCGCAGGGTGCTGCTTTGCACTTTCCTCAGCGGCAGTAAATATGGCGGACACCAGTTCCTCCTCCTGCTCGTCTAGCAGCTCCTCACAGGTGGAGATGAGAAAAGACGGCATCCAAGTTCCAAGAACACGACCAATCGTTTTACTTTTGGTAAAAAACACTGAAGAAACCTTCGCATCCTTCATCTCTAATCCGTACAGCAACGACACTTCATGACAAAGTTGCTCAAACGCGTCTACGGTTTCAAACTCCTTCGGATGGAAGTCCTGTATTGTTTTCTTTCCATCTTGTGCCGCCCGCTTCTTACGCTCCAGGTGGTCCTCAATGACGGGTTTCAGAAGGTGAATGGCATGCTCCACAACGGCACCACATGCGGAGCACTTCAGTGGTAAGTACAGTTCGGGTACTTCGGGGTTCGGCATGGCCTTGATGACGGGATCATCCTCATCTATTGGCGTCTCCATAGGTTCATCCCACTCGGTGTTTCCCAAACTGGAGGCTTTTCGCCTTCGACCGTGGGCGGGGGACGCGGCGACGCACACCAGCAGTCCCAGCAGCAGAAGCAATGACAGCGGTTTCTCCCAATACATCCCAAATCCAAAAGTATACATGGTTATGTGCGTCTATATATATATATATATATAATTACAGTGATGATGCAATGGCTGTAAGAGGAGAATGGCAACAATAATAATAATAATAATAATAATAATAATAATAATAATAATAATAATAATAATAATAATAATAATAAGACGCCAGTGAAACATGCAAAACACTTTAGACGCCAACAACAGAAGACCACGCGGGTAAGAGGCCAACAACAACAACAACAACAAACTCACAGTCAAAACGAACTCGATAATACCGTGGAAAAAAAAAGAAAAAAAACCACTTTTCTTGGCGCCTCTCAAACATCCTTGGAGGATACGGCCGATGAGCTCTGTCGCGGCCGAGGCATAGAGACAAACGACTTCCCCTCCTTGCAAGACCAGTAGGAATAACTCGACATGGAGCGTGAACTCAACGCCGCAACACCACTACCGATACGAAACGCACCTGGTGTCGCGTTCAACCGCGCCGCCGAGGGGCTCCTGTTTTCGCTCGACAGGACTTGGGGGTCATGTGGAAAAGGCGTGAGTATTTCAGGCACCTCTCGGGCCTTCCACGACAGCGGCGTAGTGGAAGCAGCGGAAGCCGAGGTCGCATCCGCAGCTTTTCCATTGCCCTCACCATGTGTGTGCGCCTCATTCACGATCATATACTTCATGAGATGTGGGCCATCCTGCAAGTCGTTTTCCTCCTCAGCGTCCCCACTCCTCCCTCACTGCTTGCAGGTGGCACCTGAGCATCCGACGCGGCCTGGGAGAGAGCATTTGGATCCAGGAGCGTTTCTTCCACTTCCACCGAAAGGATAGCAGGAAGAAACGAACTTTTCCCACTGGCCTGGGACATTTCTCCCGTATTTTGCTGCTGCGCTTGTTGTCTTTGGGGTGCTGGTGTTGTTGTCAAGAAAGGCGACTCTCCAGGGGGGGACGGGAGCGAATGCAACGCGGATAAAAGGCCTAGCGGGGTTGAATCCTCCCTCTCCTTTTTTTTCATGCACGTCTCATTACTTGTCAGGCCCCTGCGTGGGTAAAGCTCGTAAAAGCCTGACTCCGCCATCATGTTCGGCGACATGAGCGAAAAGGAGTAGTCGGTATTGTACGTTGACTGCGACAGGGGGTGGCCAACAGAGCTATCCTTCACACCCACCGGCAGGAGCGGAAGAACTACATCGTAAAGCATGAGAGCCGCATCATTTTCCCGAAAGACGACGATGTACGCTCGTTTGCCGCCGCCCTCACGATCAACTTCCATCTCAATACTGTTCTTCTCCGCGAAGAGGACGATCCGAACAATATCTCGCAGGAACACAGTGACGGTAAACGCAGACGAGGAAACACGGAACAGAAGCCGGTTGAAGTACAGGCTGATCACCACACCATCGGCCGCAATGACAGGGTAGGGCACCTCCGCAATGATGAGACGTCCCCAGATGCTCCGCTGGTGTTGTGGCAAATGCTCCTCCTGTTTCTCCTCACTGCCGTTCCAGGCGTCTAGGAGCGATACTGAATTCATTTACCTCAAATTACACTAATCAAGTTTTTCCCTTTTGTATGCGTGTGTATTTGTGTATCTGAAGAGCAAGAAAGGAAGAAAAGAACAAAGAAAAAACGACACCACAGGCCAACCCCCCAAAAAATAACAACAACAACAACAAAAAAAAAAGGGGGGGAAAAAAAAAGGGGCGCTCCACACGTGAGTCGCCAAACGGCACAGACGACAAGAAGCACCAATCCGGCAAACGGAAAAGGAAACAAGAAGTGACGTAAATATCAGTAAATATAAACTCTTCAAAGTTTCCGGGTAAGCTCGTGCTTCCCATTATGTAGCAATCACGGCTCCAACCGCTGCCGCTTCTTCGTTTTTGCAGATTTCTTCTTCGCACTCTTAAGAAGACGCTTCGCCTCCTCCTGCGCTCCCACCGGGTCCAGGGCATGCCGCACAACCGCAGCGGAAAGCAGCAGGCCAAAGAGCGGCGGCATGTAACTAATCGTTCCGTTTATTGCGCGGTCTCGCCCACCTGACTCCTGACGCTGCGGCTCCAATGGCCGTCGAGCCTTTTCTTTACTGTACACAACGAGGATTTTGCCGGGACCAATGCCATGCTTTCTCAACTCGTTGCGGCAGCACCTTGCCAGGGCATCGTTCTCCGTCTCAAAGAGGTCGCCAATAGAGACAAGTGAGGGGTCGAGACGACCGCCTGCACCACAGGAGGAGAAGGTCTGAAGACCGTGACGCACGGATGACGCAAGAAGGGCCACTTTGCACTCCACGCTGTCAATGCAGTCCACCACGTAGTCGTAGCGCTGCCGTGTCAATATGTCATCCACGTCCTCTGGGAGCAACAGGGTGTCGAGGGCTGTCACACGGCAGTGAGAGTTTATGTCCTGCAGGCGTTGCGCAAGCACCTCCACTTTGCTCTTGCCGATTGTGCTGTTGAGTGCGACTATCTGGCGGTTCTTATTGCTTGCAGAGACAACGTCGTGGTCGCAAATTGTGATGCGGCCCACACCGCCGCGCACAAGCGCCTCCGCGCAGTGGCCGCCCACGCCACCCACGCCAGCCAAAAAGACGTTGACCCCCTGCAGTTTGCGCACCCCTTCATCCCCTATCAAAATTTGTGTTCGTTCATAAATGGCCGCGTTCAACATTCTTCTTGCTTCCCGTCCGCAATGTACATGCCACAGATGCCTGCAGCAGGAAGAAATAGAGACGCAATGAAAGTAAAAAAAAAAAAAAAAAAAAAGCATGCGAGGGTTCTGATAAGGCTGGAAAATGTGCGTCACACCGCCATCCGACACAACAAACCAAAAACGTCCGCGCAATAAGTAGAATAAAAAAATAAATAAATACACCACCACCACCACCACATAACAACAATACAAATATAAGGATGTACAAAAGGGAGAGGGGGAAGAGAAAAAAGATGACGAGCAGCCGCAACCACTACATCGATGCGGTGCCTTTAATCTTCTCACGCAGAAAGGCGGGAACCGGAACGCGATGCATCAAACACGCCCGCATGACTTGCTGATATGCCTCCACAGGAATCCTTGACTCCCCTGAAGTGCTCTCGGCAAGGCAGAGAAGCTTCATTCCCTGAGCCCACAAACCCTTTCCCCCCATCACGGCAAACAACTCGCGGTGAATGTCTGCAGGCACCTGCTCTGCAAGACCCACAAAAGCTTCCTTCTGGCACAGACGCAGCAAAGCCTCGTAGTGCTCCAGCCCGTGTGTAACGTCCTCCCTCAAGACAAGTAGATCCAGATTTGCCCAGAGGCATGCCGCATCAACTGCAGCAGGTGCATGATCTCCCCAATGCTCTTTGGCAAAAGAAAGGGCACACCTGGCAGCACACATTATACCCAACATTCGAGGGTCTTGTCGTTTGCCACCGCCTTCAGCAACACCATCGCATCCGTTCCCTCCTTTGGTATGAACCACAACACCACCACCATCACTGGATAAAGAAGAGTGGCATCCGACGGCATGGTCATCAACGGATGCTTCTGCCGTGCAATCTGAAATTACTGTGCAAGTTTTAAAGGACTCTAAGGGCTTTCTATAAATGCCGTCACCGTCAGAGGAGTCTTCACGAGTAAAAATAGCATTGGAGGCATGGGATCGTTGTCGCAATTCTTTCATACTGGCAACATCGTGGCGCGAGATTGCGATGTAGCTGAGAAATGATGACAATGCCATTTCATCCTTGTCCAGCATGGCAATTAATCTTTGAAACGCATCGCCGCTCTTCTCGTTATTCAACAACCATTCCTCAATGCAAAGACGTAATGCATCCTTATCCATTTTTCCGGCCCATACGTGCAAATTCGCGTCCTTTAACATGGGACTCTCGTCAGCGGACTCGGAAAGCTCTACAAGGCTTCGTTGTTTCTCACTGAATCGAAGCTGCACTCCTTGTCTTAGCGCCAATGTCGCAAGAGCCTCTAGCTCACACATGATGGATACCGACATGCGGTAGATGGTGTACAGCCAAGCAAGAGATGCCCGTTCCCGCATGGCAGCCTCAGTTGTCACCAAGGTTGCAGCTCTTGCACCAAACAACGAAGTAAGAGCTCTTTTAGTCACACAAACGACTTTGCAGCTGTCGGTAGCGGGAATTCCCGACGTCGGTGATAATTGGAGCAGCACGTCACCATTCGAGTTGCAGCACCGTAAAAGAACACTCGCCTCGATGGCCGCCAGCAGCTTCTCGTTTTCCTCTTTCATTCCATCCTCATGTTCTTCATTCAGCTTCCGCGACTGTGTACCGCTGCCACGAGGCAGCACTTTGCGTCGTTCTTGTCGAACAAAGGATTGAACGCACTCTACATCTTCGCAGGAGAGGGCGTCCGAGGCCACGTACTCAAGAGCCTGCAGCAACACGCGGAGTACAAATGAAGACAAACGGAATGCCGCCAGCTCCCGTTGACGGTACAGGCGATGAAACATTGCGGCGACGAGACTCACTGGAAGATGCATCGCCAAACACTTCACAAAGGAGGCAGATGGAGAACTATTCTCATTTGTATCGTGCGAGCACTCGCCTCTCGAAATTCCTGTAAATACACCGTGCATCATGACACCTTCTAATAAGTCCATCACGTTGGCATGCGGTAGCAGACGATGCATGGCAGTCAGCGCCAGGGATGGCGTGTTCCCTTCTTTACTGAGGCATGAGAGCTGCAGCATGCGGTGAATGAGAATCTGACTCAACGACGGACAGTACCGCAGAACACTTTCTGCCAATCCCACCACAATTTCAAGTTGAGTGATTTCTAACACTCTCTGTGAGAGCGTTTCCAGCGCCAAAAGTTTGAGCTCGCCATTAAGCCGCGCCAAAGTCGGTAACTGCTGGTGAAGTGCGAGCGCAGGATTATCCCCCGGCTCGGAGGTGGCAAAATGAACTGCCCTGCTTGTAGATTTTTGCCAATTACATGCAGCAGCCAAGCTCTTTTTGACAAGCGAAGAAACGTAGGAAGCGTCCAAAACGGGTAAACTTAACGAGCGGCCTGCCATCTCCATAGCTGCAAATGCATCTACTGGCGACGGCGCGTCGTCAAGTTTCACCTCCAGAACTGGAGAGTGGAGCGCATCGTCACTTTTATGAAGACCCCTTCGTACCCACCAGATACATGCCGTGCGAACATCAGATTGAACACGGCTATAGTGTCGCATGAGCATTTGCGAGAGAAGACTCCTGGTGTCATACTCCTCGTGTGTTTGTTCAAGCTCCATGCAACGCACCATCAGAGAGCTCAGCGCAGAAGTGCAAAGCGATGCCCCGCTTGCAGCGCTTCCGAGCAGTTGATAGCTGGAACCAAATGTCATCGTGTCTACCGCGCTGAACCTCATGGTACAGACTGCGCGCAACGCCTGTACTGCCTGCGTTCGTCGCAAGGAGTGCCGGGAATGATACAGGATAAATTGGAAGAGCCGGGCGTTCACACCCGACGAGCTGCACAGAGCACCAATGAATGCCACGTGCTTGGATGACAATTCAACAGTGCGTTCAGCGAGGGCTTCCAATAAAACCTCACAGAGGGGAGAGGCTTCGCAACTACAGCTGTCTCTTTCACGCAGGAAACGAAAGAGAGTACGGGGACGGTAAGCGACAAAATACTCAAAAAGTGCAACAAGCGCGTCGGCATGAAGAGAGCGCAGAAGCCGCTCGGTCTCTATTGGCAGTTGATCTTCCAACGGGCACAAACGTGTGAGCACCTCTTCAGCCACCTCACATACAGAGGGAATATATTCCTGCTGCTCGTGCAGGTAGCGGTTGCTCTCCACACTGATCCATCGTCTCGTGCGAAGAATTGTGTGCGGGTTATGCTGCGAGGCCATTGCGCCACTCCCATTCCGGCTTCCGCAACCAAAACTGCTACATGATCTGCACGCAACTCGATAAGACGCCACAACGTGAAGGCCATGCGACTCGCTCAGCGAGGTTCCACATAGCCGGAAGAGCGACAGCAAACGCCGCTGTCGTTGTTGTTGTTGTTTTGAAAGCCAACGCACGATGTGAGCCGTCGTTGTGCCGCCGACACATCTGCTCATCCGCGGAAAGAAACAAGAGGGAGCGAAGAGCAGGGAAAAGAAGATCAATGACAGTCGGTCGTGTTCCGCAGAAAGAACGGAGGCACACAACCCAGAAGAGATGGGGAAAATAAAGGTGAAGAACACAACAATAACAAAAGCAGGAACAGGACACTCTCAACTGGCAGTGGTTGTGCACTCCCTGTTGCTCCGCTTCACCTTAACCTCTCCGCATCCACTACGCGGTCGCGAGAGAAAAGCGCCCCACAGAAACGCATACCCGAACCGTCCAGTTGCCGCAGAACAGCGAATACGTGCCCCATGCTAGGAAGTTCCACACAAATGGTCGTCTCGTTGGTAGGGTCACGCCAGATGTGCACGGGGCGCAGACCGACGATCTGAATGAATTGCAACACCTCAGCGTCATCTAGCTTACAAGGCAAATTGGTAATAAAGAGAAGCCGACGGTGGTTCGACACATTGGCCTTGCTTGTGGAATAGGTCGCCTCCATAGAACCTGCGGTAAGGTACTGAGTGCATGCATCGCCATACAATTCACGCATCTGCCCCTCCGCCTGATCGATAATTTTCTTGCAATCTAAACGATCCTGCAGAATCTTCAGTTTCCTTCGTAACTGCTCTTCTGATTGCGGCGCCGCCGTTACCCCAACCGTCCCTTCACCTATTCCACTTTTCTCATTGGATGTAAGCTGCAGCAGTTCCTGTTCCAACTGCAATCGCCTGGAATTCGCGCTTGACCATGCTTGACGAATCATGTGAGGAGGATTCGCTGCATATTTGGCGTGCCAAACACGCCACTGCTCTTCCAATTTTTTTACCTGTTCCACCAATGGCCCCCACAACAACTGCTGATGCGATTCCGTTGCCGCAATTACATTGACTTTAGGGAGGTTAACACCGTTTCCAGCAGTGCTGATAACATTAGCGGAGTTCACCATAAACATGACAGCCGCCGCCGTCTCTTTACTATTAAAAGAGACAACTGCAGTTTCCCTCGCCTGGGATACAGCGAACGTTGAGAAAGAACGCATTGGGTATTCGCTTGCAGATCTTATCCAGCTGTCGCCTCATTCCCTCTGGTTCGTAGTACTTCGTTGGTAGGTTCTCAAACGTCACACAGTTCACACAGCACACGGCACTCTCCGGAAAAACGCTGGGAAGTGATGGCGGTGTCGGAAAAATGCCGCCACGCCACTTCTTCACATGGTTTTCTTGAGGTTCGTCGCCACCAAAACGGTACGTCTGCAAAACGGCATTCAACGACATTCCTTTACGTGGCCTCTTCGCGGGGCGACTACTATTCGCCTGCGCCTCCTCCTCCTCCGCCAATATCGGCAGTGGCAGCTTTGGCACAACCTTCGCCAAGCGTGATGTGAGGTTTTCTGCAATAACATCGAGACGTGTATGATCCAACTCCACCCAATTAGCCCCCTGCAAACACTTCTGTACGCTTTTTCTCAGCATTTCAATATCCAACGGAGCCTCAAAGGGCTCCTGATGCGCCACAGCGTCGCATGCGTCACACAGAGAAGAGACCAACTTCTCTCTTGTCAGCAACGCCGCCTCGCTGGCATGCTCTTGCAGGACACAAAATACCACCTGCCGCACATTCAAATAATACGCCGAGGGATCTTTTGGCGTTGCCATTTGTAGCGAATTTCGTATTTCGTTCTTCTTTCCTTCCCCTTCTGCCACACCGGTGTGACTATTCTCAGCCGTCAAGGCGGCGGCAATGGTGTCCTCGCGGGCTCGCTTTCCACACGTAAGATCCTCATTACCAAA